GCTGCCTTGATCATTTTAGATTAGCTTTTAATGTACTGTAATTTTCTTCTCTGTACTATGGTGCCCAAGATAAAAAAAATCACTCCTCCTGGAGCTAAAGTTAGACTCCCCATTGAGCTAAAATACTAAAACATAAAATATTTGCTGCTTTTATTCTCTTTGGTATTCCTGATTCTGATTTCAGTCCTTCTTGTCAGTCCTTCTTTCTTGATGACGTTTAAGTCAACACAAACTGATCTGCTGAGCACAATCCAAGTTCTCTCCTTCTCATGAAACAGGCAGTGTTGGGACACATTCTGGCTGGAAGTGCAATTGCAAAAATTACTTACTGTATTTCTAACGCAGTCATTCATTCTTTTAGTTTTTATGCTTTCTGGCTTTGGACTACATCAGTTTTAGCCGACTATTTCGATTTGTGCATCTGTTGTGAGACAGCAGATGGCTTTCTGACTGCTAATTAGATTTTTAATACAGGAATACAATGATGGAGTTATAGAAACTTCACTTACCTTGCATAGATAGAAAAACATAGAGATTCAGTCAGTTTCCAGAAATTTAGTGTTGCTCCCCACCTGTGGATTTGATTATACAGTATACCAACAAATCTGTTTTCAGAAGTATTCTTAAATATTAACTTTAATAAAATCTGTTATGGAATACTGTATGTTGGAGAGTAGACAATTAAAATTATTTAATGTACAATAAAACAATTACAATAAGTAAATACAATTAATAAAATTAAAATGATTTTTAGAGTTTTCCATTAAGGAATAAAACATCAATCGTACTGCTAAGAAACTATGGGGTTAGAAGAACAGATCCATATGGGTGACAGGGCCTTCTCCTGTTATGCTCCCTAGCTCTGGAACTCTCTCCCCAAGGATATCAGAGAGTCACCTTCTCTAAACTCCTTCAGACTCAAAACCTTCTCCTTTAGAAGAGCCTTTACTTAACTGGTTCCATTCTTCACTCCTCTGCTTTTCATAGTACCACCATCCACAGTCTCCTCTGTATATTGTAATTTTGTTTTATCGTGCGTATTATTTTTATTTATTGTTGTTGTCATTCTGTAAAGCACTTTGAGAAGCCACATGTAAAGGTGCTATATAAAATAACGTTTTTATTATTATTATTATTATTATTATTATTATTATTATTATTAACTTATGGACCATAGTATGAATACCATGCTACACACTAAAGTAAATTGGATAAACCCCAATGGCTTTTACTGGGATTGGTCTAAGTCATGAATAAGGGTCTGCAACCATGAATGTATATCTATTACTTCCTTGTGGGTCAAGAGGTTACTCTAGTCCTGCTGAATAAATTCAACAAGCAGCCAGTAATATTATCCACAAACAGTCTGGCTGACTGTCAATATCAGCTCAGGCACCGTACTTTGAATTGAGGGAGAAATCTGTTTATCAGTTTAACGGATAATTAACTTGCCTTTAATCCTCAGTGATGAAATACAGTTAGTCAATCTGTCCATTCTACACCGTCAATAACCATTTTCACATTGATCTCTATTAATATGTTGAACAGTATAATTCACTTTCACCTCATTCACCTCATTGTGTAGTTTGAATATTTGGCAAATGCTGTGCTAATTACTACCAATTGCTAACAATTTATAGGTTCTATTCTTGCCAATTTATTGCCACCAAGAGTTCCTGCAGCTTCATAGATTTAAGATTTAATCACGGTTTAAGATTTTTGTTTTAACCAACAATACATCAGATTCTGCCTGATTAATAAATCAGATTTCTCCTCTTAGTTTTAAATAATTCATCTGAGCTCCAGATTATGGCTGCAGTGTGTAAATAACACAAATCAATCTATATCCACTGTTGTTCTGGTTTCCAAGGGTCTTGTTCAAATTACAGAATTGTCCAGTTAGACTCCCAGTAATTTGTTATCAAGTACTGTGCAATTGCTGGAAGTAATTGCCAGGTGTATTAGATCCTCCTTTTCTCTTGGGGAGTTAGCCCATCCCAAAGGGTGTGGCAGCTGTCAGTGACAACGATCAAGAGGATGCACTCATGCCATGTTACAGAGGGCTTGAACAATTAGAAAGTGTTCAGTTTAGTGCTTCATATTGATTTCTATTGAGCTCCAACAGGAAGCTGGATCCCTTAGTCCAGCACATTCATTTAGTTCTGACTGTTGGATATCATTAAAGCTCTGGCAATTTCTCTCCTTCTACTTCAGACCAATATACTTGTAAAGGAAATATTATGTCTAGAAAAGTAGTAGACCAGAAAGTGACATTATAAAATTGAAGTAATTTATAATTTAAGACTATTTTACATCCCCTTTATTAAAAATGGGTGTATTTTTATTACTGCCAAATAGATTGTTACTGAGGATTTGTGTTAGAGGATTTTGAACTGGCTCTGCTTTCAATGAAAGCAATGTATGTTTGATATGAGTGAGAAAATATATCTGTATATTGTTCAAAAGAGGTTATCACTGAGCTGTAACATCATTTATTTTTCATTTTTTTCATATATATCCCTTTGCTACACTAAAGCTCAGAGTTAATATTCCCATTGAATTTCCTCCAGTCAGTGATTTTTAATTAAGTTCATTGGGAGGTCAAACTATGTTGCAGTGCAACTGGCAGTAAAAAAAATCAAATAATATTTGACAAAAACCTTCCTGGAAGCAAGCAATATCCACAGAAAAAAGATGATTAAATGAAGAGAAGGGAAAAGGATCTGAAACACTGTATTATCTCCTTCTCTGTGTTCAATTATTTTTTTTATTAAGAACAGCTGGTTCAGTGTTTGGAAGCACAGTAGCATGGTGGTTAGTATTGCTGTCTTGCAATACTGGCACCCTGGATTAAATTCCTGGGGTGCTATCTGTGTGGAGTTTGTATGTTCTCTCAGTGAACGGCCCAAAGACGTGCTGGTAGGTTAATTGGCTTCTGGGAACATTGGCCCTGGTGTGAGTGTGTCTGTGTGTCCCCTGCATTGGACTGGCATCCAGTTGATGATACCTGTGCTTGTCAGAGTGGGCTCTGACTACCCTGTGACCCTGTATTGGATAAATCTGTTAGAAAATGTATGGAAGAATGGTTTGCTGTTGTATTTGGGTTTAAAATGTAAGAATCATTGTGATATGTTTCCCAGCAAACTGTGCATGTGTCCCTTATATTTAAAGACATACTTTATACCAAAAAAAAGAACAATGAGGTGATTTCTCATTCAATTCATTTGTTCCCAATGTGTTTCTATTCTTCAAATTTAGGTGGTGTAGGGTGACAAGCAGGCTGGAGTGTACTGGATCTGAGCCATTCAGGAGGAGGGCTGGAGATGTCTGCTTGGTTTCTCCAAACTGTAAACTGGGAATGTGCAATCTGTCTTCATCACCTCTGAACAAATTGCTCAATCATAGTAATTATTTGAATAAATGACCAGTTCTTGTACTGTATGTGGTCTAAATCAGTTGTTAAGTGAAAAATAACTACACTACCTAAGTCCATATCCCTCAAAGACCTCCAGCCCAAGCCTATGAAACCTACATGAATCAAGCCCTCAAAGACTGGATTGGTCAAATATATTATTTAAATAGTAAAGCCAATTTCAGAAATGACATCTACAGGCATTTATTTTTTCACAAACTGGCACTGCACAAAACATATTTTCTTATTCAGACTTTTAAATTAATGTGTGTTTGTTCTTGTTTTTGATTAAGATTATCTGGATAATGGTCAAACTGGCAACAAAGTGGTTAGCATTGCTGCCTCACAGTGCAGGGGGCCTGTGATCAGTTCCAGACCTGGGGTGCTATCTGTGTGGAGTTTGTATGTCCTACCCTTTTTCATGTGAGTTTTCTCCCACAGTCCAAAGACATACTGGTAGGTCAATTGGCTTCTGGGAAAACTGGCCCTGGTATGAGTGTGTGTCTATGTCTGTGTGCTCTGTGATGGACTGGCATCCTATACAGGGCGTATCCTGCCATGTGCCCATCGCTTGCTGTGATAGGCATCAGTTCACCTGTGATCCTTTATTGAATGAAAAGTTAAAAAGCGGATGGATGGAACAAAATAACAGAGTAATGGGAACTCCAATCTTCAAAAATGTCTACAGGGTTTGTAGGTCATTTCCAAATAACAACTGGTTGAAATATATAAAAAATATTTAGCTTGACTTATTATACAAACTAAACATATATTATACAAATAGATTAGGCACATTGTCCTGATCAGTAAACTAGGATTCTGGTTTGGAATTTCTGAGTCAGAAGAAAGAGCGCCACCTACTGGTCCACCTGTACCACTGCAAACTGGCTTTTCCCAGGCTCTGCCTTGCTTAGCTTCTAAGCTAAGGTGGTACTTCTGCTGTCACAGCAGACTTATTTCCATGCTTTTCTTAAATATATATATATATTTAACAATGTATCATATTGTTATAAAATATGAATATATATATACTGTATATTGTTTGGTTTATTTTTGTCTGTCCAAAAATGTATATGCTGGACTTGGACCAGTGTGACTATAATTTGCACATATACAAAAGATAAATACCTCTTCAAACATTTTAGATTTAACCCATTAATCATTAAAAAAACATTCATATCTACTGTACTTTGAACAATATAAAATGTCATAACTATTTATTTAAAAAATAAATAAATAATACAGCCTTAAACAGTAGGACGGTACCATTTAATTTTCCTCCTCTCTCCCCCTTATTTTTTCGCGACTTCGAACATCCTCCTTCTCCCCTGTCTTTATCACTCGGCTTGGTTGAATCCAAAACAGAACATCATGGCGATTGATGGTAAGTAGGCCAATAACGGTCTCTTCTTCTCATTAATAACTTCTACATAATATTTCCTGAAGGTACATGTTCAGGGGACAGCACGAAAGTCTGGGTAGACTCTGCGAACGAGCCTGGGGCGAAAGGGAATTTTAATTAATTGTTGTAAAAGTTTGAGTGTTTTGCTGGTGATGAAGACGGCGAAGATATGGTAATCCCCAAGCCGTACCGTGGTAGTGCTGTCCAGTTCATGCGCTCCGGTAGCGGCTTGTGTGGTGCTGAAAGGACAGCTCCTATCCGCGCTACAGGACCGCGGGGAGAAACTGCAGTGCAAACAGTAGAGTAAGCACTGACTGCACACGATGTCTGTGCTTTAAGGCGAAATTCAGGTGCCAGAGGTGCTTTTCATGAGTGTTGCATGTTTTTTTAAAGGCATCGTTCGGATACTTAAGAGGCGATCGTGATAAAAAAAAAATACTCAGATACTCTAGAAGAAGTTTGAAGGACGCGCACGGAATTGCAAGTGCAAATATAAAGCTCAATACATTGATGCCCAACAGTTGCTTGGTGCTGCATCCTGGTGTGAGTTTACTAAGCTGTAAAAAGAGAGAGAAAATATTATTTTATTATGCTGAACAGTCGCTTTTCCGCAGGGAATTGCTGAACAGCTTTGTTATACGATAACGGTACGTTGCATGTTCATCAGTAAAACGATTTCACCCGCGGAAACGTTGCTTTTGTTAATTTTCCATAATAAAACTGGCTTCCAGACAGCTGTTTTCCGGAGAAATGCTTATGGGTATGAATGGGGTTTAAATTCTGATAATTGCCTGTCTCTTTCAACATAAATTACTGTATGTTGAACTGGTATTATTGTGTTGTAGCCTTTCCAGTGTCTGCGCTTCTTATGGTATTGTCTATTTTTGAGTAGCAACGAATATTTATCGCTTGCTGGCTGTGAGGATTTACAGTAGTTTCTTTCGTGCCAGATACGATGAATTCACTAAGTTGGCTTAGGTGGTATAGTAGCTCATCACGATTTTACTGAGTAGAGTTTGACATTTTATTCTTTAGCTTGACATGAATTGTACGCGTACACACAGACACCTACACACCTACACCCACGGGAGTATCTCCGCCACATAAACACCTACTCAGGAACAGAGATACGACAATGTTAATTAATTCATAGCGAGACGAAAATGTTTTAACACGTCCTCCAATTTCGTCTTTATTTTTAAGCTTTTTATTGTACTGTACCTTCTCAAACATTTTTAAACTGTACTTCGTATTTTATTTGTTCAAGTTGTAGTTTAACAAGGTTTTTCTTATCCGTGTTTACAGACGCTTTGCATTGGTTTTGTTTTTACCTGACTGTGTCAAATTGTGATTTTCAGATACTTGTTCTTGCTATAGATGACAGGATTCACAGTGGTCCTCATATTAACCTGAAACATTTGCCGTTTTCTTCAGGGATTCTCATCCTACTCGAAGTTACATTTGGTTTTTCCAGAATCAGCAACAGGTGTGATTAACCATACAGTGTATGGATCTGTACATAATGGTGTGTGTCTGTGTGGGGTTTGTTAGGGTGCTCCAGTCCTCCCACCTTCCAAATACAGATTGGCTGGGTTAGCTAGTGTCTCTAGATTGTGCATGAGGTTGTGTGTGTGGGTGGAGGCACATATATATATATATTAAGAATGAGTAGGGGTTAATTCAAGGCTGAAAAGTAAAAAGGCTGTGGTGCGTCTCCAGGTGCGTGTGGGTGGGGAGGGGATGATTGAAAGAGCAGGAGGATGAGGAAAAGGGGTGGGATAGGAGGACAAGAGGGAGACAGTGTGAGAATGGAACATAGGGAGAATGAGAAAGGGGGCTAAAGATATCAGGTTCTGGGAGACAAATTCGAGAGAAAATGTGGGAGATTGAAATCTTTAAATGAACGGGGAGATTTTGAAAGCAATTTGCCGTTATTGTTTTGTCTCATATCCCTGAGGTCTCTGTCTGCCGTGGGTGGGGGTCAAGGCCCAAGGCTCCACAGCCAGACCGTTTATGTTTTGTATCTGTTTTAATCTAAGAGCTCTTAAATGAATAAAGCAATCTAAAAAGAAACGTACGCAGGCCTCTCTCTATATTCATTGGCAAGTGACTGACACTGTTGTATTAATCAGGTTAATTTTGATTTTCAGAGTGACTTAGCAAAGAGGGCGGTCATTTCATTTGCTAATAGGGATGCAAAAGACAAATGCAAAGGAGAAAAGGCTGATGAGTGGTATTTATAGTTTCTGAGAGTTAAGGAAATGTCATCAGGAATGATTATGATGTAGGACAGTGGAGGACACTTGAACTTGGCTGCTGTCATTTCTCCAGAACTTTCATTGCAAACTCGGAATCCTGCTGGCTGGCTGTCTGTCTCCTTGCTACACCCCGAGACGGGCTGGAAAGGTTGAACTCAGTTTTAAGCAGCAGTTAGGAATAAGGCACTCCTGACAGGACCCTGGGGGGCAAATGGCTAAGGAGCACAGCTGAAGCTGATCTTGGTGTGTAGATTCCAGCCAGGGGAAAGGTACAGTATGTAGGGTCCCAGCTGCTTTGTAATTTCTCACTCCTGCCAGCAGCTGTCGGAGAGATTGACAGATGAACAGCAAGCAAGATTTGACTCTGAACTGCTATTTGGTCTGTGAAAAAGTGTTTCAATTGCATGGCATTTCAAGGAAGATTGTGAATCTAGTTGAACAGACTTATGTCAAGTATATGTCAAGTATATAGTATGTGGCTGAACAGTATGAGGAAATGTGAGGTGCCTCAGCATTACACAGTGTCTTTCCGTTGTTCCACACATGTGAAGTACAGCGTATTACAGCTATCTAGTAGCTAGTTAATCACATGGCTGGCTGAAAGAGGTGATGTGGTACTCAGGCCTTGTGAATGTATTTTATTGCATTGACCAGATCCACTGTTCCTATCGCTAATACTGTACATGCTCCTGCAGATGGGTCTAAGGGGTCTTCTTTCATTCAAAACTTTTCTCATGTTATGGTGAAAGGGAATTATTGTGAAGTTCATTTATGCATCCTTTTTAGTTTTGTCCAAAAGTAATGCAGTTGAAATCTGATTTCATTCCATTTAGGGTGCTGCAGATTGTACCATGTGAGTGGCCATTTGAAGTTTTAAACCTGAGGAAAGCAAAAACTGTGAAGAAATTGAGTTTCATTTTCCCTTTCAGTTTGACTGTAACTAATACACATGGAATATTATTCATGAAATCTATGGGGTCTTCTTTACATGGTGATAAATGCTGTTATCATTTTTTAATTCATAAATGCACTTTTTTTATTCAGCAGATTGCAATTCATTTTTAAGATCCCCCCTTTTCTTGATTAGCAAAAAAATTGAGTGAGGATAAATGGCCTCATTTACTCATTAAAATACCATATTTACAAATGCAGGTGGTACTAACATGAGCTCATCATAGATAAATGTTTAATGTTACTTTAGTTTCATGTGATTGATGCACGCAATTGGTAACTTCTGGCATGGTCATTTCATTTATAACTGATAGCCTCATTGTAAGTGTATATGTATGTGTGTTCTTAAGCCAGTGAAATATTGTAGCAATCGAAACGTTCTAATGCAAAGATCAAAGTGCGATGATAGCAAAACGTTAAGTTCATTTTCATCTCTCAATGTAACACAGATGCAAATCACCTCAACTGAGAGAGTTAACGTGTTTCTCAGGAGAAAGAGAATTTATTAGATCTTTCGATCCTATTTCACATGAGCTTTCAGCTTCAAAATGGAATTTTGGTTCTTTCTGTTTTGACACAGCCTTAAGGTTTGAGCTCGGACTTCACAGAAAGGTGCAGTTTCTGTGTGTTCTAAAGGCCAGTGCCATGCATTTCTTTTTCACTGGATCTCTTCAGAGATCTGGGAGGTGGCTTTCTAGAACGAGCCTATTACCAGTGTTCACAGCTGATTAGTGCTCACTTGTAAACTTCAGCTGTTATCTCATTTGCAATTTTTCTTTTCTTCCACGTAGGATGTGAATTGTAAACTTAATACTGCATACAGTATGACAAATTTCCAGTTTTCATAACTCACTAGTTGGTCAAAAGCACTATATTATCTCCCCGGTTTCAGAGACTCAGTAGTGGTCTCAGTACAGGTCTGTTTTTCTAATCTTCTAGTACTGTCCACCTGGAAATGCAGTTTGGTCATTTTGCATTATCAGTTGTTATGTGTGGTTAACTTGAAACACTTTCACCTCCTCTTCTTACGTTTTATTATGAAAGAGGTTGTCTTGTCTGTGGTATTATGGCGACATTCTGTTAGATATATAGAACATGTTTCTAGCAAACAGATACAGTAATATATGTAGAGAGAATTGTGGATTTGGGGAAGCCTTGAGTTAGTACTGTATATGCCTAAGTCTTTAAGAACTACAAAGCTAAAGATAACCTACACATGGGAATCTGTAGGACCCTGGATATTAAGGATTCAAAATGAACTCAAATCAAATCAAATCACAGGTTTATCTGTATTATTTGTGGATTTTTCAGATTATTAGGAATAGAAAATCTCTTAATTAACTTGAACTCTATCTTATGTGCATTTATTACTTTTCTATACCTGATATAAACACATGCTTTACATTTTTCCATAAGGGACTTAAAGGAATCCTTTGGCAACTGAGGCGAGCATTTGCAATGGTATATAAATATTTTATGCGCCACTGGTGTAAAGGCTAGGAACAGTAATCAATTGCACATACCGTATGTTTTATTACATACTTTAGAAAGAAATGAGCTGCATTGAGGTCAATATGAGTATGAAACACCTTCATGTGTAATGAGATCACTGCAAATTCACGTGGTTGTAAAAAACAGAAAAAATATTTCCAGCATACACTGAGCTGGCAAAATATATATTGGTATTGAATTCTCTGTATGGATTGTAAATCAGAACTAGCTACCAGACTGGAGAGTTTTAAAGTTCCTACTGGAGTATGAAAATAGACTTAAATTAGGAGCAGTGGAAGGGGGGGATTTGAAATGATTAAAAAGGCAGATTAGCTTTGTGATGATACCAGATACAGTAGAGGTTAGAGCAGGGAGATGTGTGTGTAGGTTGCAAAGGAACAAGTGGAGGTTAATTCCATGAGGACAAGCAAAGCCAAATGAGTGCAAATTACACAAGGAGGGGAAGAGGTGTGACAGAGAAAGCAGAAGGAAGAGAAGGTGCAAATGGCTAATGGAAATTTAGCAATTCCCATATTGAAACCACAGTGGCTTGTTGGGCCAGAGCTTGTGCTGATTTCTGTGTTGTGAAGCTGAAGAGAGAGCACATTATTCCACCCCCTGGACAGGACACCAGTCCATCACAGGGCCAATACTGGTCCCCATTTACACAGGACTGGAGTAACTATGGTGAAGTACAGTACCTCAATCAAGGTACAAAACAGAGCACAACCCACCAGCTATGAGTCTAGAGATTTACCCACTGCTTTACACCTCACCAGAGATCAAGTTGAAGAGAAGCAAATATTCAAGATGTGAATTCCAAGGAGAGAAGTGGAATACGGCAATCTGGGAAGAAAGAAATTAAAAAGAGATGAGTTGATCACAGAGTGCTGGGGTAATTTTGTGAACCTATTCTAAGGATGAGTTTGACCCCTGATACCTTTCTT